TTTTTTTTAAACAAATAATTTCATTTAAGTATTATTTTTCAGTAAATATATTTTAATTTTCCAGCTTGAATTGAGCCCCAGAAAAAATTCAGTTTCAGTTAAAGTTTTTCTTTGATTTATTGATTTGTTGTAGTGGCTTAAGTGAACTTTAAAATGGTGTTCATAATTACATATACACATACATAAACATATATAGCATATATGTATACACATACATAGATATGCATATATGTACACATACAGTTATTAATATAATTTACAATATAATTTTACAACTTTTAGTTTTTGGACAATCTTTTCATTTTCAAATTGGTTTTCACATATGCATGTACGAACGTATGTACATTTATTTATTTATTTATATATTGTATTTGTATTGTGTGTGTGTTTTTAAATTAATAAATAATGTTACAATTACCATAAGCTTTAAATGGGACATACGGAGAGACACACTGACGAACGAGTGGATGTGCGGCATATCCTTGAATAGAACTTTTCGCCTAAAGCTAAATTTAAACATTTGTATGTAGCTATAGTACATTAGATCACTAGCTTTTCGTTTCACGAATGAGTTGACCCCTGACCCCGCGTCCCCGTCCCAGTCCCTGCCCCGCTGCCCCACAATTACAGTTTGTCGAGGCCGAGGGGGAGGGGGCAACTCAAGCAAAATGATTTGACTGAATGTTAGGACCAACGGCTGGCTCCATCTCCATCTACGGATGGGGCTCCTACTACGGATGCGAGGAGCCCATGCGCGGTCCATATAACGAGTAGGGCGCAAAGTACTGGGCCAGCGCGGCATGAGGCGGCAGACCGGGCAGCACTCCCGGCGGCGCCAGCGACGGCGGCAGCATCGACGGCTTGCCATACGGATGGTAGCGCGCCGCCGCCGACAGCGGGCTGAGCGGCGGGGTGGGGTAGGTGCGCTGAAAGAGCGGATGATTCGGTGGTATGCCGCCCGCGGCTGCTGCACTGAGCACGGCATCCGGCACGGAGGCTGTGTGCGTGCGCAGATGCTGGAACAGATCGTCGGAGGTGCCGAACCGCTTGCCACAATACGCCGCATCGCTGCCAATCCAGGAGCAGACATACGGCAGCTGCGAGGCGGCCGCCAGTGCCGCCAGCTGGGCGTGATAGGAGGAGGCAGCCGCTGCTGCCGCCGCTGCTGCTGCATTAGATCCGCCGGCGCCCGTAGAGCTGCCGCCCGACTTGCCCGCGCCGCCCATCTCGCACTGCGGACAGCCCGCCGGACAGGGCTGCCCAGCGGCCTTGTTGATGTAGTGCGGACTGGCCGGGCAGCCCGTGCAGTAGGGGTCGCGGCATATGTTGGGTGCGCCCGCCATCATGGCCGCCGGATCCGTCAGTCCCTTGAGACGCGCATAGTTCAAATAGGGATTCATGGCCGAGGCCTTGAACATCGCAGGATGCGGCGACATCAGCGAGCTCGCTGCCATCAAGTCCATGGGATAAGGCGAGCCGTAGCCTGCAGACGAGAAGGAAAAAAGTTAGGAGGATGTTAGATTGTTATTACTCATGGAGATATTCCAATTAGGAACTGCTTGAGCATCAAGTTTGGATAGTTGAAGATATTACAAATATTAATAATTGCGATTCTCTTCAAGTTTATTTAATTGGTATATTATATA